AATTATCATCGCATGAGGGGCAAAGCACAAACTGACTCACTCTCAAATGGAAAACAAGGCAAATGATTGTTTTTTCAAATGTTCTTTTGCAGGCAACCAATTTGTTGCTGGGTCTTACTCTTGCTCTGCGTGCTGACTGTTTCTAGGAGGCCCTGAATAAACACTCTCTCAAAAATCATTCAATCTACTGGAAAGTTTCTTCTATTCATCCTTTAGGACTTTGATACCTTTACCTGGAAATCTGTTTGTTTGTTGTTGTTGTTGCTGTTATTTTGTCTTTTTGTTTGTTTTTGTTTTTAGGGTGGGGGGAGGTATATTATATCAGAGACAGCAACCTCCTATAGTGCTTGTGAGAGACCAAATTGAGTGTGAGGTTCAACGCAAAAACTGGTTCTGGGTATTTATAATGTCATTTTGAATAATATCATGCAGACCTAGGAAGGTATTTATAGTTAAGTAGTAGAAGGCAGGCAAGAGTAGGATGGGTGAGTCATAAATTATTCCGTTCTATTCAAAGATTATTATAGCACTTTCCCTGAAACACAGAGCATTACAGATACAGACCTTAAAATTTTAACTCATATTCTATTTTTGAGGTGGTTTTATCAGTTAACTAGGGGTGATTTCTTTGTCGCAGATAAAAAGACAACAGAGAAGGTAATGTGGGACAAGTCTACAGGCCTTCAAACATGCCTATCCCTCCTATCCTTAAAACATCTTCACTAGCTACATATGAGGAAGGGCAACTTTGAAAGTAACATACAGGATTTCATGGCTTTTCTTTTTTTTAAAGTAAGTGTATGAAACAGATTCATGATTTCATTCAGAATCCTCGCTGTGTGTATGTAAATGATCTTTCTGTGTGTTTAAGTTCAGAATAAAAAAAATGAAATAACTGTCATTAGACTTTTACCATCCCTTCAAGCTATATTTCTCTGCTCTGTTTTTTAACCAAATTCTGAAAAAAGCTATTTATAATCATTACCTCTACTTCCTCCCTTTTCATTCTATTTAAACTCTTTGTAATCTGACTTCCAAACCTCACTCCTCAATTGAAAGTCTTCCTCCAAAGATACTAATGATCTTTCAATTGCATCATTTGATTTTCTTTTTATCACTCTTTATTCTTTACTTTTCTGCAGCTTCTGACACTCTTAACCACCCATATCCTTTCTTCCTGGATACTCTTTCCTCTCTTGGTTCTCCTGTCTATCTGATGACTACTTCTCACACTCCTTTGCTGGATCATCATTATTATGCCCTTTAAATATGAGGGGGCATGGAGAGAGATAGGAAAACAGCATTCTCAAAGCTCTGTCCTAGGCCCTCTTCTTATCCACTCCTCACTCTCCAAATTTCTCCATTTCCATGTCTAGAAACCCCTGGAGATGCCTCTGCCTTGTGGCCCTCTCTTCTGATTGGTGAATCCCTGGTCTGGATTCCCATTTCATGCCAGGCCATGTTCACTTCTTTGGATTTCTCTACCTTCTTCTTCATCCTGGACTCCTTCACTTTCCCCTTGTTTTTCACCTCTCCTTTATGTGTTGCCTTGCCCCACTAGAATGAGTTCCTTGAAGGTAAAGTTTTTTTTTTTTTTGCTTGAAGAACTTAGAGGGAAGCCTGGCCCATAGGAAGTGTTGAATAAATCCTCTATATATCCACCTTTTTCTTCGTGACTTTATCAGCTCCTATGAGTTTGATTACCATCTCTATGGAGATCAGATGTATATATCCAGTTCTAGTCTCTCTACTGAGTTCCAGTCCCACATTGGTACCGCCTACTGTACCTTTCAAACTGGATGTCCCATAGATATCTCAATTTCACCAAGTCCTCAACTGAACTCATTATCTTTCCTTTCCAGCCAACCTTCCCCACTTCTGTCAAGTGTACCACCATCCTTCTGGCCTCTCAGGGTTTCAACCTTACTTTTATTCTCAGATCCTCAGTCCCTCTCACCCCACGTTATCAAGTCAGTCGCCAGAACTTAATTTTTCACCTCCACATTATCTCTAGCATCTTGACTCATCTTTGTACATACAGACACCATCTTACTTCAGGCATCCATTGCTTTTTGCCTCAACTATTTTAGTTTGTTTGTTTTTTGTTTATTTTGGTCTCCCTTCCTTAAGTTTTAGTCCACTCCAGTCTTTTTTCTATATGGCTATCTACTTGCTAACATTTTATTTAAAATTTTTGCATTTTTTTCATTAGGGAAATTGGTCTATAATTTTTTTTCTCTGTTTTGATTCTTCTCAGTTTAGGTATCAGCACCATATTTGTGTCTCTATATCAAAGTGATTTTCTTTAAACAAAGGTCTGACCAGATCACTCTCCTATTCAATAAATTTCTGTGGCTACTTATTAATTCTACAATCAAAAATAAACTTCTCGTGGCACAGTGGATAGAGCACCAATCTTGGAGTCAGGAGGACCTGAGTCCAAATCTGGCCTCAGACTAGACACCTGACACTAGCTGTGTGACCCTGGGCAAGTCACTTAACCCCAGTTGCCTCACCAAAAAGCAAAAAATAAAAAAAAATTATTAATTATTAAAAATAAACTTCTCTGCTTTACTTTCAAGGCCTTTCACAATGTGACCTCAACTTATGGTCCTAGGCTTACTATATATTACTCTTCTATTCATATTCTACAGGTGGCACAAGCTTGGAGTCAGGAAGATCCAAATTCAAATCTGGCCTCAAACACTGACTAGTTGTATGACCCTGGGCAAGTCATTCAATCTCTATTTGCCTCAGTTTCCTCAACTGTAAAATGAAGATAATTTGATAAAATGAGCACCTTCCTCTCAGAGTTGTTGTGAAGATCAAATGAAATAATATTTGTAAAAATGTTTAGTACAGTGCCTGACACAGAGTAAGTAGGTGCTATATAGAAGCTTATTCCCTTCCACTACAGCCAAATGGGACTTCTCTCCCACCTCTGTGCCTCCACCTGCCTGGAATGTGCTCCTTTTTCACCTTGACTTTACAGAATATCCTTCTCTTCTTTTCTTTCCTTCCCGACTTGGCTTCAAGCACCTTTTACACAAGAACTTTATATAAGCTCCTTTTACACAAAACCACTCCTGATTTTGCCAGCTGTTAAGGCCCTCTTTTACTAAAGCACCTAGTACCTACTTTGTGGTTATTCTGTACATATTTATATAGTATGTACATGTTTTAAGTGCTTGCTATGTGCAAAGGACTATGCAGAAGTGATGTGTGTTTCTGGGAGGGAGCGGTGGTAAAAACAGAAGATAGTTACTATAATCTGCACAACTGTAGTGACCACAAATACCAACCCCTGAACAAATTTTTTAAAATTATGAAGTGAGTTATGTGGATTATGGGTTATTGAGTCATCTCTCATCTGTCTCTGACACTCCTTCTCCAGGGATTCAATTTGGCAAATGTTTTGTGGGCATGGCACTAGCTGTGGTATTGTTGGAGATTCAAAAGAGATGGAAGACATAATTCTAGCTCTTGAAAGAGCTGGCTGGGAAAATTTTATATCTATATCTATGTATGCATGTACACACACACGTATGTATACACATGTAGGTGTGTATGCATGTACATACACATGTACATGTATATGTGTGCATAGAAATCTACATAAATAAAGTTTCCCATATACATATTTGTATGTGCACATATTTATATTCATATGTAAATCTGTACAGGCACATGGGACACTTAAAGGTTACTTGAAGGCACCACAGGAAGAAGGGCTGAGAGCACATAGGGAGAAAAAGCAATCACAGGACTTGGGTTCCATTCCTTGCTCTACCACTCACTCACTCACTAGCTGTGGGACTTCGGAGAAGATCCTCCCTGGTGGTCAGTTTCTTCATCTGTAAAATTAAGAGGCCAGACCTGATGATCTCTAAGATGCCTTCCAGATCTATGTCTACCCATCCTAACACTTAGAGCCAGAAGGGACCTTAGAAACCATTTAACACAATCATTGTTTTACATATGGAGAAACTGAGGCTCAGATAAAAATCATAAAGGTCAAAGTAGGGTTGTTGCTGTGTAGTTGTTTCAGTTGTAGCCAACTCTTCATGACCCCATTTGGGGTTTTCTTGGCAAAGATACTGGCGGGGTTTGCCATTTCCTTCTCCACCTCATTTTACAGATGAAGAAACGGAGGCAAACAGGGTTAAGTGACTTGCCCAGGGTCATACGGCTAAGAAGTATATGAGGCCAGATTTGAATTCAGGAAGATGAATCTTGCTGACTCCAGGCCCGGCACTATATCTACTCTGCTACCTAACTGTCCCTCAAAATGGGGTAGGGTTAGTTAATAAAAGTTTTCTGAAGGAATTTATTTTTGAAGCAGATCTGATAGAGAATAAGGAGCATGGATAGTTGGAGAGGAGGTCAAACAACACTGTAAGAAGGGTAATTGGCAAGGCGGTGAAACTTAGAAAGCTAAATGCACGTGGCAACAAACAGTATGGTTTGATTTCACTACACTGGCCATACTGCGGAGGGAAGGAGAATTAGAACAGCTGATGGGGTCTCAGATGCTCACAGAACAACACGCTGTGGGAAACACTGGGGAAAGACACCTTGGGGAAGTGAATAGAGTCCTGACTTCAGAGTCGGAAAGATCTGGGTTCAATTCTTACCTGTGACACAGAGCTCTGCCTAAGGTGTAACTTTGCAGTGCCCCAGAAGACTTTCCAGTGGCAAAGAAGGTATTGATTTACCTTGGTGGAGAGTTTCCTCTATTTATGAAATCACAATTCCAGTGAGACAGAGACAGAGACAGAGACATACACATACAATGGGAACTCAAGCAGGTCAATGATATACTATATCACTGCAGTGAAATTTAAAAAAAGAAATTCATAGTTTCTTCTCAACATCTTACATTTGCTGCTCATTAATACCTAACATGTACCAAGGACAAAGCACTGCATTTATTATTTTAATAAATGTTAGAGGCTGGCAATCAGAAGCAGAGAAAAATTTCTATGTCAGGGCTGGCTCACCTCATAGAATAGGCCTTCAGGGAACTGCTGGAAGCACTGGGCGCAGACGAAACACTGCTCGTGGTACAGCTCGCCATTGCTGTTCACAATCTTCTCGGCAGGTGCAAAGCCTCCTTTGCAGCGTTCACATAGGGCATTAGCCAGGGCATTCGCCATATTGCTGTAAAAGACAAGGGGAGGGGGGGAGACACACAGAGACTGTGAGACTTTTTTCATGCTTAAAGATATACAGATAAAATGGAATGCAAAACACGATCATACGATTTAGAGCTAGAATCTCCTTCATTTATACTTGGGAAACCTTAGGCCCAGGCAAGTGAAGAGATTTGTTTTTTGTTGTGGGTCAGTTGTTTCAGGCTCATCATGAACCTGTTAAGGTTTTCTTTTTTTGGGGGGGGGAGGCTAGGCAATGGGGTTAAGTGACTTGCCCAGAGTCACACAGCTAGTAAGTGTTATGTGTCTGAGGCTGGATTTGAACTCAGATCCTCCTGAATTCAGGGCCAGTGCTCTATCCACTGTGCCACCTAACTGCCCCCTTCATTTGGGGTTTTCTTGACAAAGATACTGGAGTAGTTTGCCATTTCCTTCTCCAGTTCATTTTACAGATGAGGAAATGAAGCAAACAGGTTTGAGTGACTTGCCCAGGGTCAGACAGCTAGAAAGTGTCTGAGGCCAGATTTGAACTCAGAAAGAGGAGTTTTCCTGACTCCAGGCCAGGTGCTCTATCCACTACATTACCTAGCAGTCCCCAACTTACACAATCAATATTGTTGTGTAAATTATACATAAACATCAAAAATACTTTTTAGAAAATATCCCCATTACTAATATGTTTAGACTGTAGTGGACTTGAATCTATGGTCTCTAATCTCTAGGAATTTACATTAAAAAATTCAATCAACAAACATTAAGTACCAGGGACTGTTAAATGCTGGGGACACAAAGACAAAAAGAAAACCATTCCTGCTCTCCAGGGGTTTATTTTCTAATGAAAGGATTAAGATAGATAGCAGAGGGACAGCTAGGTGGTACAGTGGATTCAGCTCCAGCCTTGGAGTCAGGAAGACCGAATTTCAAGTCTGGCCTCAGACACTTGACACTTAGTAGCTGTGCGACCCTGGACAAGTCACTTAACCCCAGTTGCCTCACACACACACACACACACACACACACACACAAAATTAAAAAGATAGATAACAGACATAAATAATAGATAGATAATTAAGTACAAAGTCCATACAGGAAGAAATGCAAAATAATCTTGGGAGAGAGAAAACACTCACAACTGAACTAGAAAGACCAGAAAAGTAAAGTTTCTAAAAAGCTGGCATGAGGAGGGAATATATTCCGTGTGTACAGTACCTCTCCCCACCCCATCCTACCTGTAGGTACCCCAGAAGAAGGTGGCAAAGAAGGTATTGATTTGCCTTATGAAATCACAATTCCAGTAAAAGAGAGACACAAATACACACACATTCCCCCCACTGCATAAATACATAGAGGTTGTCATGTTAGAGGAACAGCTGGAAGGTCAGCTGGGATGGAATGAAGGACATTCACCAGATGAGGAGTGATATGAATTAAGACTGGAAAAGTAGGTGGGAGTCAGACTGTGGGGTGTTTGAAACGCCAGGCTTAGGGCTTTGTATTTTATCCCTTAAGTAATAGGAAGTCGCTGAAGATTTGCTTACCTGTGTTCAATTTCTCTTAATATAAATAGGCAGATAATACCTGCTTTGGCACTATGTAAAACTAGAAGGGTCAAAAGGAAAAAACCCTGACTACTGAGCTATCAAATGAAATCATCTCGAAAGTTTCTTTTCCCTAATAAAAATGCTAACAAGATTCCAAAATGGAGTATTATTGCCAAACAAAACAGGTTATAGGGGTAGAAATCTTTGCTTTAATTCAAGTGGCTCCTTTGTTTGGAAAACTGAAAAAACTACTGCTTAAGTTACTATTTCCATTTAGTAATATTATTAGCTTCCCATAAGCTGCTTTAAGTCGAAAGAACAACGAAGTGAGGTAGGTAGTGTAAGTACAACTATACCCATTTTGCAGGTGCTGAAACTGGTGTGCTCATGTTCACCTGGCAGAGTCCTCATTCCAACCTAAGTCTCCTGACTCTTAAGAACAGCGTTCTTTCCTCTCTAGCATTCTTTCCTCTGCTGCCTCTCAATAATAACTTGCATTTATATAGTGCTTTAAGATTTACAAAGCACTTTGCTCACAAGCCCATGGTAAAGGCAGTACACATATTGTCATTTTATTGAAAAGGAGACTGGGGTTCAGGGAAGTTAAGCAATTTACCTGTGGGTCCAAACTATTAAACCCAAGATTCAAAACCCATGTCTCCTGACTCCAATTTCAGGGTTCTGTTTCCTACACAAGGAAGCCTCTGCACCTAAAGTTTCCAAGAGCCCACTGTTCTACTGTCTAATTGTATTATAACCCCACACTTAAGCACTTTAAAAAATTACAATATACACTGCTATCTTGGAGTCACACAATTTTAGCATAAGAAGCCTAGAGAATCTTTTCATTTTATAGGGGGGAAAAATGAGGCCCAAAGAGTCAAGCGATTTGATCAAGGTTACCTAGCTTTTTTCCCCAAACTAGTGCTTTTTTCTCCTCTATCCTAACTGTATCATGTTTGAAGGTCTAGGTTCCCCTACCCAGTAAGCCCTTTGTCAACAAGGGAACATGTCTTACTAGCTGTGTGACCCTAAGCAAGTCACTTAATTCTGTTTGCCTCAGTTTCCTCATCTGTCAAATGAGCTGGAGAAGGAAATGGCAAACCACTCCAGTACCTTTGCCAAGAAAAACCCAAATTGAGCCACGCAGAGTTGGACAGGACCTAAATGACTGAACAACCCAGGGTTGTTGTGAGGATCATGTGAAATAATTGTAAAGTGCTTAGCACAGTGTAGGGACTTAATAAATGCTAGCTGTTATTAGCTAATACTCTTTGTTTAGAAAAATATTAGGGATATAGAGAGTACTCAATAAATACGTGTCAATTGATTGATCAATCAATTTCAAATTCTATCAAACCAAGTACTCCAATGAAATCTATAACCTCATCAATTTGGACATTGCCTTCCAATGACACAGATCAAAACCCATCCATGCCAGCCCATCTGGTATAACTCTTGATCCATCTCCTCCTATAAGTTTGCCACGGGCATCTACCCACAGTGCTACATCTGCCTCCCCTTTTTCAGACATCTTGAAGAAACCAGTGGAACACTCTTTTTTGATCGTACATTTCCCTGATGATATCCTTTCCTCCAGTTTTCTTTGAAGTTCCTTATTTGTTACACATTACAGTTAGCTCACACCCATGATGTACATTGCCACCACTCCCTGCGCATAATCATTTTCAATTCTTTGAGGACTATTGTGCATCATGATTCATTCTTACATGACAACAGCAGTAGGATATCGGTATTAGACAATGGGCCTTTGTTCCTGGGAGCAGTCTGGGGTCATTAAAGAAGCTCTGCAATTTCTTGAAGATAATAGTCTCCTAAATCACACATATCCTGGGGGGAAAAGATGAGCTATCGTTATAGTGCTAGCTATGTGACCATGGGCATGTTATTTTTGTTCCTTTATTTATTTATTTGTTTATTTATTTATTTTTTAAAAGAAACTAGGTCTCCCTATCTTGCCCAGGTTGGAAATATAGGTGCTATTCATGGGCCTGATCCCACTACTGATAAGCATGGGAGCTTTGACCTGCTCTGTTTTGGAGGCAGGCTGGTTCACTTCTCCTCAGGCAACCTTTCACTGTATTTTTTTTTAATTTTTTTTTAAGGCAATTGGGGTTATATGACTTGCCCAGGGTCACACAGCTAGTAAGTGCAAAGTGTTTGGTCTGAGACTGGATTTGAACTCAGGTCCTCCTGACTTCAGGGCCAGTGCTCTATCCGCTGCACCACCTAGCTGCCCCTCCTATCACTGTATTAATGTAGAAGGTGGGGACCTAGCTTCCTGTAGCTCAGAATACCAGAATTCAAGAGATCTATCAGCCTCGGCCTCCTCAATAACTGGGCCTGTGTCTCCACATCCACCCACTTTATTCTTCTAGGATTTGGGCTTCTCATTTATAACATAAGAAGTCTGGCCTAGGGGCAGCTAGCTGGCGAAATGGATAGAGCACCAGCCCTGAAGTCAGGAGGACCTGAGTTCAAATCCAGCCTCAGACCAAACACTTGACACTTACTAGCTGTGTGACCCTGGGCAAGTCACTTAACCCCAACTGCCTTTAAAAAAATCTACTGCTACCCATTTTTCCTTTTAAAGGCATCATAATAATAACTTACATTTATGTAGTCATTTGCAAAGTGCTTTCTTTACAATATCCCTATGATGTAGGCAGTCCGAGTATTATTGTGCCCATTTTACAGAGGAGAAAACTGAGGCTCGAGGCTCATGGAGTGAGCCCAAGCTCACGGAGGAAGCCTCAGTCATGACTTCAACTTGATTTTCTGACTCCCAACACCAGTACTCTTCCCACTATACCACCAAAAGTTAAAATCAAACCCCTCCATTAGCCAAAAAAGATGAAATATCATTTTCTCCTTCCTATGGAAGCTAGACCTCCAAAAAAGTGACAAGAAAAGGGGGGGGGGAAGCAGTTATAACAAACCAACAAAAACCCCTATACGAAAAAAGGACATTTTTTCCTAAAAACAATTCAGCCAACAGCAGCAACTCAGGTCAACAGACTACAAACCACAATTATAACCATAATGAAAATAATCTGCCGAAACATTACCTTGTACTTATAGGGTTTCGTGCTTTCCAAATAGCTTTCCCGTGTTTGAGTCAACCAGAAAATATTTATTAAATGATTCCCAGGGGAATTGCTTCTTATTTCCATTTACAATAGATAATAAAAAGGAAGCGCAGAAATGTTAAATAACGTGCCCTAGGTCATACAGTTTGATAGTGACAGTTTATCTGGATTAAATTCAAGGCTGATTCTGCCTCCAAGGTCTCACTTACGACTTTTATAAATAATTAGAAGCTATAATGAATTCAGCTAAGGATTTAAAACACATGTCAAGGTAAAGAGTTTTCTACCCTTCCTCATCTCCCTTCCCACTCCCATCCCAAAAAAGGGGGGAGAGGGGTGAGGAAGAAGCAGGATCATAGTCACAATATGCCTCAGCTGTATGGTACACTTCCCGTCCCCCTCCCCCGCCGTAACAATATGGTCCATTTTTTAGTCTAGCTGAAATGAAATCCGTGTGAAAACAGTGTAAACATCATCCCACGCCTCCTACAGGAAGCCTTTCCCAGCCCTTTTAATTCTAGTGCCTTCCCTCTCTTAATTATTTCCTATTTATGCTATATATAGCTTAGTTGTACATATTTGCTTGTTGTCTCCCCCATTTGATTGTGGGCTCCACTAGGGTAGGGGCTGTCTTTTGCTTCTTTCTGTATTCCCAATGCTTAGCACAATGCCTGGCACATAGGTAGCCAGGTTTGAAGAAATATCATTGCTATATATGATACATATCACATGATATGTAAATATTATTGCTACATATCATAGTGTAATTTTTGTGATAGAAATAATCAGACAATGAAGGATCACCAAAGCTGTCTGGTATCAAGGAGAAATCAAATGAGAGCTCACAGAAGCAATATGGCTAATTATAATCAGTTAATTTGCCAGGATGTGAAATCAAAAAGTGTTCATGCAAGAATTCCTGTGAACACTTAAACCCTCAGGATAGAACCTAAAAATCTACCACGGATTAAGTCAATTTATTCTAAAACAAGGGTTACTTATATCTAGCTTTCCACATTTAAATGTGCCAGCCTTCTCCCTTCCATTTGTTGTAGCTTTCTGAAAATAATAATTATACATATTTATATAGGGCATACATTTTACAAAAATATCATTCATAGCAACTATGCAATAGATAATATAATTATAATCACCTTTATTTTGCAAATGGAGATCCTAAAGCTCACAGAAGCAGAGATTTAGAGCTTAAAGGGATCTTGGAAATTACCTAGTCCAATTCTCTTATTTTACAAAAGGGTAAACTTGGACTCAGAGAAGTTAAATTATTCACAAGGATAGTTAGAGAGTAAGGCTAGAAAAGCCTAGGCTTTCTGACCCTAAATACAGCACCCTTTCCACTGTACTATACAAAATTAATCAATAATTCAACAATAAGCACTTATACAGCACTTACTAGCACAACAGGCTCAGATTAAGCATTTTTCTGGTTTTAATCAGAACATCACATAGCTCTGGACATTATCTTCAGAATCTCCTGAATAAGACACCTTCCACTCTCCTCTGTAAATCTGGGAGGTCCCTGGATGTAGAACATTGCATATAGATAGTTTCAGATCTCCCTTTCCCCATATTAGATCGGTTTTTGTTGATTCTTTTTTTTTCCCTCTTGTCTCATTTTCTTTCTTTAAAATATAGTCTTTGCTACATGTGATAGCTCTCTGGGAGAGTTGAGGAGGTATGGTATACTAGAGGTAGAAACAAAATAAAGCATGTCCCAAAAGTCTCAATGAAGTTCTAAGTTTCCAGCAGGTTAGAACTGCAGGGACTTTTGGGATACCTTGTATATGAATAAAAAATAATTTAAAAACACAAATTCATTGGATAACACAAATCCTGATCACAATATAATGAAAACAATCCCTAATCTCTCAACAAATGAAGCTGTTAAATGGGACGGACAGGTTACATTCTAGTACTGGAGAGCACTTAATGATCACTGGTAAGGAAGAGTTAGCAGCTGTGAAGTGTGGTAAACCATTCAAACAACAAAGTCATTAATTTAATCTTTACTCATTTGGAATTTTTAATAATACAAAATGTGTAATCATTTAACTTGGGCCTGCCAGTTGTTTATGTCTGTACTACTGCTGAAAAAAAGTGAGGGGGCCTTACCTAGCAGAGATATTTTACTTCCATAATTGTGATCTCATTAACGTGGGCATTCCTATATCACTGTAGACTGCTAATCATCCATGCCTTCTCATCTTTTGTGATTATAGCCCTTCCCTTTTCCCATTAATCCTACACAAAAGATCTTAGGGTATTATTTATCATATAAACTTTAAAAGCATTTACTTATAGGTAACCAAGTTGGCCAATCATTAACTATTTTTATTTATTAAATGAAGTCACCTAAGAACCATTACTAGAATACAGCCTAGTTCTAGGTACTATAGGTAGATATGTATTGTGGACGAAACATATTAAAATATACAAAATGTACAAAAAAGTACAAAAATACATTCTTGATAAATATGCTGTCAGAGCCTCTAAGTGATTATCCCTCGAACTTGCCTTGAAATTTAACAGTGTCTGAAATGCGCAAAAATTTTAAGATCTGACATCTGAAAATATAAGATACTTTGGAGTAAACATTTTTTCATCATACTATAGAAGAAATGAAAATTCATCTTTGCTGCTATCAACCTAGTGAAAAAAAGCGACTACCCCATCTAACCTAAGAGTACTTTTATGTTAACGGACCACATTAACTAGCAAAACCAAGAGAAATTATCGAAGGCACAAATCCATCAACTTGTTAACAGTAGGCATATTTAGCAATGCAGCACCCTTCAAAACCATTCCTACAAGGACACAATGGCAAAACAGCCAGTGAGTTTAAAAGGCTGAGAACACTAGATTCCCATCAGTAAAGTACCCACCCTGGCAGAGGGGAAACTTACAATCTTGCATAAAAGTCACAGAATTCCTTGTAGACTTTTATGTCACTTTGCCTACGCTGCAGTTTGGACACAGCCTTCTCGCCTTCATTCTCATCAGCATCGTGGACATCGTTAATTACAGTCTGTGGGATTTCTTCGTTTTCTGGAATGACAAAGGGGTGTACCCTGCCTGGGAGTGCCATCCTGAAGCAGTAACTTATCTGAGAGTTCTGATACCGGGACAGAAAGCTGCAGACTACATCCACCAGCGGGAAAAACAGTGTACAGGACTTCCCCCCTGATTCCCAGCAATGGGATTCACTTCCACTGTTTACACGTCAGTTAGGCAGGCTTTATAAGGGCTCCGCAGAAGCTTCAAGTTAAGAGCCCAGAGGCACAGTAGACAGAATGACAAGGTATGATTTACTTGAGCTTGCTGGAAGCCCTACACATAGCACTCCATTAGAGCCAGCACAACTCAGGGAGGAAGGGCAGTCTTCACTGTCTATTATGGACCATGAACATTCTACCACAGCACAGTGGAAGTATTTTATGGCCAACCAAGACTCAGTCACACACACTCACTCTCTCTCTCTCTCTCTCTCTCTCTCTCTCTCTCTCTCTCTCTCTCTCTCTCTCTCTCTCTCTCTCTCTCTCTCTCTCTCCCTCCTCCCTCCCTCCCTCCCTCCTCTCTCTCTCCTCTCTCTCTCTCTCTCTCTCTCTCTCTCTCTTCTCTCTCCTGTCTCTCTCTCACACATACATTTATTTCCAGATTCTAAAACTAAACTCAAATAGAAACAGGGACCACTAAACCACACATAAGGATTCTACGTGGCACATACTGACACAGAAAACTACATATTAACATTATCTCTGTTTTATTGTATTGCTCCTGAGTCACAAAGAAGTTAGTTTAAAATTTAGAGAAAAGAGGAACCTCTAATAGGCTGCTTCACCTGCACCTTTTTCTTTGGTATTTCACTTCTATTTTTTTCTACAGCTTTGCCTATGATTGAATCCTTGCAAAGCTCCCAATCAATATTTCTTAATAATTCAGTTATCTCTAGGCCTCCATCTCAAAGGCTCCATAAGCAGCCAGCACAGGGGCAGTTTTGTAGGCGATTACTCAGTCCCTTCCAACACACATGCCCAGCACTTGGCTTTCCGCTTTTACCATAGGGACCTACCCGTTTTAGCATTTTGTGCAACAGATCAATTTGCCCCACCCCAAAGGTCTGTGTTATGGCAAACAATAGTCAGACTTGTGTTTGTTGGTGTTCTTTAAGACATTCTCTCCAGATCTAAATTCTTACTGCCTTTCTTCTTTCTATATGATTGATAAAATGTCTGAATTTTATCAAAGACCCCCTGGTCTCTGACAGACAAAGACAAAAACAATGAAACAGATCAAATATATTTCTACAAAGAAGCTTCTCATGATTTGCAAAAAAGATACTCTGTGTGTGTGTGTGAGATGTGTGTATGCATATATATACATACACATTAATTACATACACATATTAATATTGTCTGCAACAAATTTATCACAGGTTATTCTCACTTGTACAAAATGAACATCTGAGCCACCTTGCCCCATCACTTGGTACACATTCAAGAAGTGCCAAATTGTTTTCATATTAATTTAAGTAAAAATATAATTATGAAGGCAAATCTACTATGAAATATAATGTACCCTAAAGACAAATTTAATGTTTCATAATAATCCATGGCTCTCCTACAATCAATTTAGATGATTGAGGGTTGACCACCTAGAACCTAAAGAAGAAACAGATTGAAACTGTGGAAACATTTAGGTGGTGGACAAAATTCTGGACTTGGAGTCAGCAAGAACTAGGCTGAAATCCTGCCTTAAGATATGTACTGTCTGCGTTGGCCTTAGGCAAGTCACTTAATTTTTCTAAGACTCAGTTTCTTCATCTGTAAAATGGGGGTATTAATCTTAGAACTAACCTTATGTGACTGTTGTGAGGCTCAAACAAATATTTAAAGCATTAAAAAAAAGTCAGCCATCATCACCATCATCACTAGGGCCAGTGAAAACCTGAAATTTATCATGTGGCTCATAGATATTCACTGTAATGTTAAAAAAAAATGGATTCCATGTTTGACTTAGCAAGGACTACAAAATATATTCACTTGTGAGCAAAATGTTTGTCTATGTGAGGCAAGTTATCATAAGTCATTTATAAGATTTAGAGACAGAAGGGGCCTCAGTGTAATACAGACCAACATTCTCATTTTGCAGGTGAAGAAGCTTGAGATCCAGAAATTAAATGACAACGTCATCAAGACAGTAAGTGGGAGAACTAGGATCTGAACCCAAGTCCTCTGACTTTAAAGACAATGTTTTTTTTTCCCCACAGCACTATTCCCCTCCCCCCACAACATTGCTAATAATCCAATAACTCTTCAAAACACATGACAGTTTAAGATTGGTTAAGAAAACAGTAAGTTAGGTTGGTTTAGGCTGGATAATATTATGGAGTGGTAGGAAGGGCTAGAAAGGTTAGTTAGCCAAACTGGGGAAAGCCTTGAATGCCAGGTCTTTGTAGCTAATGAATTAAACCTTTTAATTTTCTTTTCTTTTCTTTCTTTCTTTCTTTCTTTTTTTTTTGAGCAGGGAAGTGGCATGACCAAATTTATGCATTAGGAAAATTACTCTGAGGGCATTATACAACATAGAAGACATATTAGGAGGTTACATGAATACTTTAAGGAAGAAGTAACAGGGATAGGAACTGTACTTGTGAGCTCTTTGGTATGGGAAACTCACTCTATCAGCACTGCACTGAGACTAAGTGACTTGTCCAAGGTCACACTGCCAATATATGCCAGAAGAAGGATTTGAATCCACGTTTTCCTGGCTCCAAGATCAATTTTGTATTCAATATACCATGCTGCCTTTGAATTCTGGTGGTAGTGGTGGTGAAAAAGAAAAAAAAGAGAGATACTAGAGAAGACAGAACTTGGTGACTTGATTGAGAACAGAAGACTTGGAAGCATTAAAGATGGCTGAAGTTTGGAGCCTGGGTATCCGGGAGGATGTTGGTGCCATAAATAGAAAATAGGAAAGTCAGGAGGAGCAGGGCAAGCTTTTGACCATCATGAAGGGTTTGGTTTTGGACAAGTTGAGTTGGGATGCCATCAGGGTATCAACAGGCAGATAGATATGTGGTTCTGGAGATGTTGGGAAAGATTGGAGGACACAGTACACTTGGGAACTGTCCACATAGATGTGACAGTTGAAGCCATGGGAATGGATGAGATTAACCAAGTCAAAGAGCTGAGGGATAAAGAAGAGGACAGCAGATGGAACTTTGGGGAAGACCCATAGTGAGGAAAGTGAGGAAAAGGAGAGAAGCCAACATAAAGGGATTAGTCATAATTGAGGAGAACCTTTGTAGAAACTATTGTTATTGAGCAAAAAAATGTCTCTAAGGAAAAAAACCCCACTATTGTTCACATTACATATTCTTATTTCTTAACAGTTCTTGCTACGAGTTATTTATCATACAAGAACTTGGGGACCTGCTGCTACGTGCCCAGCTCTCTGCTATGAAGATATGTAAGGTCCTAAAGTTAGCCTTCAAGAAGCTTACACTTCTGCATAGGGAGAAAAACACATGATACCACCAAAGAGGGCTGCTAGGTGGCACAGTGGATAGATAACTGGGCTTGGAATCAGGAAGACTCAACTTTCTGAGTTCAAATGTGGCCTCAGACACTTAACTGCTGTGTGATCCTGAGCAAGTCACTTAACCCTCAGTTTACCTCAGTTCTTCATTTGTAAAAATAAGCTGGGGAAGCAAATGGCAAACCACTCCAGTATCTTTGCCAAGAAAACTCTCAATGAGATTCTACAGAGTCGGACACATGTGAAAACAACTGAATAAAAACAACATTAGCCACTGAAATACTGCAACCACATAATGGTGGAGCTCCAATAATACTAAAAGGGCCAAGGTTTCTCACATCCTGCATAGGAAAGGACTGGGATCAGCTCTTCTAACACTGCAAAGTTATATGGCCTTACTCTCCTCAAAAGCCTGTTTAAACTGAAAATTCAATTCAATTAATCACTCATTTCATCTTGATACCATGGATTAGAACCAAAGCAAAAGGTTTTTTTAAGGGCCTAAATATTTGAGTCATTATTTTTAACAAGGCATGGAAGAAGATGAGGGAGTATTTAAGGCCATGTCAATAACAATTGCTGAGGTTCAAGTTTTCAAATCCAAACATTTTGTGATTTTTAAAGCTTTTCTGGCACCTAATAAAGTCAGCTAAAAAAGTATAAACAATCTTTTCAGGAGTAATTAATTCTGAGAGAAATATTTATCCCAAGTCACTTGATTTATGGTACTACTGCCACTGTAGCAGTACAATCAAACCAACAGCTGTTAGGGGAAATTAACAAAGGAGGAGGGGGATGTATTTCTGAAGAGAACTGCCATTTTGGGCTATCCTGTATTTGCTTTAGCAGAAAGTAGCAGTAGGGGCAGCTAGGTGGCGCAGTAGACAGAGAGCACCAGCCCTGAAGTCAGGAGGACCTGAGTTCAAATCGGCCTCAGACCAAACACTTGACACATACTAGCTGTGTGACCTTGGGCAAGTCACTTAACCTCAACTGCCTCACTTAAAAAAAAATAGTAGCAACGGCATCAAATATGCTCTGTAGAATCACTGAATCTGAATTCCAGAGCCAAGTTCCATTGGGGTTCCAGAGATTGGGCCAATAAGAGTTCTATCCAAGAGTAACCTAAATTGACCTTTTTATCCATTTGCAAAAGACTCTCTCTCTACACTCGAACAGATAAGTTTGGGTTCAGATCAAGCCCAGGCAATAAAGTATAAAACATCTAAACAGGTAAGTATATGCATACCTGATCATTTGAGCAGGATGAGAATCCTCATAACTAGGAAGATCAAGAAATGTTTCCTATAGGAAGTAGCACGGGAGCTGAACTTTGAAGAAACTGAAGGATTCTAAGAGACATAGGTAAGAGGCAGTGCATTCCAGTTGAAGCAAGGAGAACTATCTGTACAAAGGCACAGGGAAAGAAGATGGAATGTCCAGTTTTCGGGACAGCAAGTAGCTCAGTCCTACTGGAAATGTAAACATCCATGAAGCGGAGGAGGAGAAAAGAATTCTGGAAGGGCAAGCTGAAGCCAGACTGGGCAAGGTTTTAAATGTTACATTAAGGAGGGTTCATTTTGTCCAAGAGGCAACAGGGATCAAATGAAAGCTCTCGAGCAGTAAAGTAGTAACATGGTCAGACTTATGGTTTAGA